AATCATGCTAAGTATTCTAATTATTCTCAAAGGGACGGGTGTTTTCTGGGGAGTTAAAGGTCAATCGCTTGGTACTTATTCTATTTCTCAACGTGGGTCTAATTAGCCTAATTACACGAATCTTTGAGAATCGTGTCAATATTTGGAAAACAGCACCTTATTTTGTCTAACTATTATAAACCAACATGATTTGAACAACTAGTCTACTTAGAATATGTCTTATAAAACAACATGCTTTCTACTCGAATATGTTCAAAGGGACGGGCGCCTTTTGGAGAACTCCAGATTCATTTGTGTCCAACATCCTAAATAGTTAGAACAAATGAACATGTTTGGGTAACTAAGTATTTAGATATTTCACACAATTTAAACAATTTCAAGGGCACCCCCTGGGCTAGTTCCGAAAATAAACTTTTCCTAATGAAAAAGTTCAAATAATTCCAAAATGCGAACTGCTTATTTTGATGAAAATGTTGGAGGTCCTGAACAACATATCTGTTCAAATAATCCAAGTTATGTCCAGGGCCCTTCCTGGGCCCATTGTAGAATATTTAAAGAATCTGGGTGTCTCGAATTCAAACAATTCGAATTATGGAATGTACAAATGTGTTTCTTAGCGCATTATTTGTTGGAGGCTCGGAACAAAAACGTTTAAGTTATTTAGATAGTTCTATGAATTTGACTACGTGTGCTATTCAATTTGTTGGAGCCCTGAAAAAGACATATCCTGGGCCCTCCCTGGGCCCGTGCGGAATACTCAAAGAAGATAAACCTTCAATCCTTTTGGCGGCCCCTGAGAAAGCATTATAAAAATGCTTTTGTTCAAATTCTGGAGGCATTCTTTTTAAAATATGAAAATTGAATCATTTCTAGGGTTCTCCCTGGGCCAGTTTCATTCTGTTTAAACAACCTAAAAAATCAGATAATTTAAGTATTATTTTTTTAATTTCTGGAGGCCTCCAAAAACCAACAAAAAATCCAGGGTTCTCCCCGGGCCAGTTCCAGGATATTTAAAAAATGTTTTAAACATGTCAAATAATCTAAAATTATTTATCTTCTAATTTTTAAATTTCTGGAGGCCTCCATTTTTTGTACAAAAACAATAATTAAATTCCAGGGTTCTCCCTGGCCAGTTCCCGGATATTTAAAAATATAGAGTTTGTTTTTGTAGTTATTTGTTCTTAAATTTGTAGAGGCGTCTAAAAAAAAGTTTTCCCTGGCCAGTTCCCGGATATTCAGCAAGCTTGAAAAAATAACAAGCAAAACAATACACATTCATTTATTAAAATGTCTTAACTTTCTGGAGGCCTCCATTTTTTATTTTTTTGAGTAATATCCCGGGTTCTCCCTGGGCCAGTTCCAGGATATTGGAAAAAGTTGAAAAACATGAATAAATTGAATAATTAAAAAGATAATAAGTCTTTACATTTAATATATATTCTTTTAATTTCTGGAGGCCTCCAAAAAAATGAAAAAATAGTTTCCCGGGTTCTCTCTGGGCCAGTTCCGGGATATTTAAAAAAAGCAAAAAATCAAAACAAATAAAGAATTCAAATCATTTAAATATGTTTTAAAAAAATCTGGAGGCCTCCAAAAATTTCAAATTAAAAAATATAAATAGTTTCCCGGGTTCTCTCTGGGCCAGTTCCAGGATATTTAAAAAAATTGAAAAAATCAAATAATTTCAATAGTTCAAAAAAAAACAATCTGGAGGCCTCCAAAAAAAAGTTTCCCGGGTTCTCTCTGGGCCAGTTCCAGGATATGTAAAAAAATCAATATTTAAAAAAAAAAAAAAAAAGAAAAAGACATTCAAATAATTTAAATATTTATATTTTTTTAATTCTATTGAAATATCTGGAGGCCTCCAAACAATTTAAAAAATATAAATAGTTTCCCGGGTTCTCTCTGGGCCAGTTCCAGGATATTTGAAAAAATAAAAAAAAAATCAAATAATTTAAATAATTCAATAAAAAAACAATCTGGAGGCCTCAAAAAAAAAGTTTCCCGGGTTCTCTCTGGGCCAGTTCCAGGATACTTAAAAAAATAATAAAAAAAAAAAAATTAAAAAAATAAAAATATAAATAGTTTCCTGGGTTCTCCCTGGGCCAGTTCCAGGATATTTGAAAAATTTAAAAAATTCAAATAATTTAAAAAATTCAAATAATTTAAATATTTATATTGTTTAATTTTTTTAAATTTCTGGAGGCCTCCAAAAATTTAGAAAAAATAAAAAAATATAAATAGTTTCCTGGGTTCTCCCTGGGCCAGTTCCAGGATAATTGAAAAATTTGAAAAATTCAAATAATTTAAACAATTCAAATAATTTAAATATTTATATTTTTTATTTTTTTTAAATTTCTGGAGGCCTCCAAAAATTTTTAAAAAATTTAAAAAATATAAATAGTTTCCTGGGTTCTCCCTGGGCCAGTTCCAGGATATTTGAAAAGTTTAAAAAATTCAATTAATTTAAAAAATTCAAATAATTTAAATATTTATATTTTTTAAATTGTTTTAAATTTCTGGAGGCCTCCAAAAATTTAGAAAAAATATAAAATATAAATAGTTTCCTGGGTTCTCCCTGGGCCAGTTCCAGGATATTTGAAAAATTTAAAAAATTCAAATAATTTAAACAATTCAAATAATTTAAATATTTATATTTTTTTTATTTTTTTAAATTTCTGGAGGCCTCCAAAAATTTTTAAAAAAAAATAAAAATATAAATAGTTTCCTGGGATCTCCCTGGGCCAGTTCCAGGATAATTGAAAAAATTTGAAAAATTCAAATAATTTAAACAATTCAAATAATTTTAAATATTTATATTTTTTTAAATTTTTTAAATTTCTGGAGGCCTCCAAAAATTTAAAAAATTTAAAAAATATAAATAGTTTCCTGGGTTCTCCCTGGGCCAGTTCCAGGATAATTTAAAAATTTAAAAAATATAAATATTTAAATTATTTGAATTGTTTAAATTAATTGAATTTTTTAATTTTTTCAAATATCCTGGAACTGGCCCAGGGAGAACCCAGGAAACTATTTATATTTTTTAATTTTTTCAAATTTTTGGAGGCCTCCAGAAATTTAAAAAAATTAAAAAATATAAATATTTAAATTATTTGTTTTTTTTTTTTGAATTATTTGAATTTTTGAAAATTTTTCAAATATCCTGGAACTGGCCCAGGGAGAACCCAGGAAACTATTTATATGTTTTAATTTTTTTAAATTTTTGGAGGCCTCCAGAAATTTAAAAAAATTAAAAAATATAAATATTTAAATTTGATTTTTTTAAATTATTTGATTTTTTTAAATTTTTCAAATATCCTGGAACTGGCCCAGGGAGAACCCAGGAAACTATTTATATTTTTATTTTTTTTTTTAAATTTTTTGGAGGCCTCCAGAAATGTAAAAAACTTAAAAACATATAAATATTTAAATTATTTGAATTGTTTAAATTAATTGAATTTGTTGAATTTCTTAAATTTTTGGAGGCCTCCAGAAATTTAAAAAATTTAAAACATATAAACATTTAAATTATTTGAATTGTTTAAATTAATTGAATTTTTATTTTTTTTAAATATCCCGGAACTGGCCCAGGGAGAACCCAGGAAACTATTTATATTTTTTTAATTTTTTTAATTTTTTGGAGGCCTCCAGAAATTTAAAAAATTTGAAAAATATAGATATTTAAATTAATTGAATTTTTTAAATTATTTGATTTTTTTATCTTTTTTAAATATCCTGGAACTGGCCCAGGGAGAACCCAGGAAACTATTTATATTTGTTATTTTTTTTTAAATTTTTGGAGGCCTCCAGAAATTCCAAAAATTTAAAAAATATAAATATTTAAATTATTTGATTTTTTTGAATTATTTTTTTTTTTAATTTTTTAAATATCCTGGAACTAGCCCAGGGAGAACCCACGAAACTATTTATATTTTTTTTATTTTATTTTTTTTAAAATTTTTGCAGGCCTCCAGAAATTAAAAAAAAAAGAATATAAATGATTAAATTATTTGTTTTTCTTTAAATTAGTCGGTTTTTATTTTTTTATTTTTTAAATTTTTGGAGGCCTTCAGAAAATTAAAAAAAGAATATAAATAATTAAATTATTTGATTTTTTCTTTAAATTAATTGATTTTTATTTATTTTTTTAAATTTTTGGAGGCCTTCAGAAATTTTTTAAAAAGAACTATTTAAATTATTTGAGTTGTTTAAAAAAAAAACTATATAATTGATTTTTTAACATTTTTTAAATATCCTGGAACTGGCCTAGGGAGAACCCAGGAAACTATCTATTTCTATTTTATTTAGAAAACATCAAAAAATGGAGGCCTCCAGAAATTTAAAAAAAAATCATTGTTTTTTTGATTTATTTATTTATTTATTTATTTATTTTAATATCCTGGAACTGGCCCAGGGAGAACCCGGGAAACTATTATTCAGGGCCTTGGGCGACACATAGGCCCAATTCTTCCCTCTTACGGGGGGGGGGGGGTCCCCATTTGATTGACACAAATGGCCCACCCATCAAGGACAATGCCGTCTGCTGTAGAATTCTCCGCAAACGGCCGAAGGGAACTACAGCAACTACGAGACATACAGTAGGGGATGTTTCTTCTTTTTTTTCTTCTTCGGGGCGGTGTCCCAGTTACCCTCTACGAGCTGCGGTTCAAATCCCCAAGCCACCAACGCAAACCACAAGGGAGATCTGATATTCTAACCACGCAGCCCCGTGGCTTTCCATGGAAAAGCAAACGCCTCTTTTCGGCGGTTGATTTTCTCACCAGTGGATGGACGAAATCCGTTCGCCCCACGTTGAAACCATGGGAAATCATAGTTTGTTGGTATTTACAGGGCAATCGACTCATTCCAGGGTTTCTTAGGTGGCTCAGGACTTCGTCCATCAGTAGAGGACAAGCATCGGCTACCCTTTTCGGTGGGGTTATTTCTCCAAAAAGCAAAAGGTCTCGGAACCCGTCTGGGATTGGCATGTAGATCCATGCCTCCTCCTCGCCCAACAGCTCAAAGCTCAGCCTCGTCAAATCGGATTCGAGGCAAGGGAGGTTGTCCCATAGGCGGAGCCCTCAAATTGAGGCGGGGTTTTCTTTGGGACTCCCTTTAAAACTATCCAAAAAGGGTACCCTCAAAGAAGGAGCCACACTTACTTCAAGATGGTCCATTCAGTCGACCCTGAAAAAAAAAGGGATAGTGTTGAAGGAGACCCCAACCGGATGCTTGTTTCGGACTCTGATCATGTCCCGCCCAACGCTTTTAAACCAACGCAGGAGTTTGCCCACTGTCAATGAAGGAATCATTTGCAGCAACATGCCTTTCTTTCCACGAATGCCGGGCAAAGTGTCGTATCCTGCTCCAACCCATACTCTCCTCTCCTTGCCTCTCCCTTCAAAGGAAGGGTGATGGCGTGGGGTGGGCGGGCATTCTCTTTGCATGTTTGCGTTTCCCCCCCCCCCCCTGTTTTTCCCCAGAGGTGGCAAAACAGCAGCATGATAAACAATCCACCCAGTGGTTGTGCCTGGATGGTGGTGAACATGAAATCCACTGGGCCCCAGGCGAAAGTTTGAGACCACGGGTGCAACAATCCAACCACTATTTTGGTTGACTCCTGACTAAAGAAAATAGGTGTAAAGTAACAAATGTGTCGTGCAGTGAGTGAGAACACCCACATATGCAAAAACATGCTCCGTAAAGGTTAGTTCCTTCAGCACGTGATTACGAAGCAAGCCCCGGGAGTATCCGCAACAGCAACCAAAATGATTTCCTCGCTCTGCGTGTTGTCGGAAACTCTACCAGAACGTATCCTAGCCTATTGGGAAAAGATGCGTTCCGGTGGCTGGTTGCATCAAAGGTTCCCTTCGCGTTAACCCTCGTTCTCTTCAAAACGCCGCGGGGCCCTGCGGTTGGTCTTGAAAGGATAGCTGGGTTCAGCATGGTTGGAAGTTACCAAAGTTACTCTGCAAGGTTGCCATGCTGGCATTCCTGAATTCGCAAATACGTGTATCCCAAACAAGAACCTTCCCCTCCACTGCAATTGAACCTGCCAGGGGAACGGTCAGACCAGGAAATAGCCCATGATGTGCAGAACCTCGAGGCGGCGATACCTCGTTACCTATAAACTTTTCTGGCAACCGAAAGCACCGGGGTAAGACACTCGCGCACCGTACCCCGATGCTACCCCCGGATCGATGGGTCAAAGCATGGCGCTTCTGGGGCTTCGGGCGGCACATCGAAACCCTGCGCCTGGCAAGGGCCCCGGGGCGCCAAAAGGCGAGCGGCACAATGGGCCAAAAGGCTACGGGTTTTGCTTTGGTGGTCCCTCCAAAATATCCAAACGGGCCAGAAAATGTGTAGAACAAATGCAAAGCAAAGTACCCTCAACCCCAGAATGGAGGATTTCCGTGTGATTTCCTTTTTGAACTATTTCTTATGGGTTTGCGCCGGCTAGATTTGCCCGCCTTGCAAGAAGCATCGAAATATCCCACTTCCATGAACTTCATTGCGTGACCATTGGCTCATGTCGCTTTGCAGTGGAAATTCGGCGATATCGCAATGCCAAGCAGCTGATATATCCTGCACTCCTCTTTGAGCTGGGATCGATCCATGAGGGAACCCAATGAAAAAGACCGTCGGCGAAGCAAGCGCAGCTGTGGTGCTAAGCAAACAAATGGAGGGGCGAAGACCATCTTGGACGTTCTTTTGCGTAGAGCCCAATCGCTGCAAAAGCCACGACTTTTGGAATGTGGCAGACTAGGTGTCCTGAGCCATTCCGCTGACACTGAACAAAGCCAAGCAACGAACCCAACGGACATAGGACCAAACCCGGCGGAGCCTCCGTGAACTCTGCCTCTCTCTCCGGCGCAAGAAATGGCGCCTGCAGCCAAGAACTGGTGCGAGGCCCATAGGATTGTGGGACATGAACAAGCATTCATAAGAGCGCGTTTTAGAGCAACATAGTTTGTCCTTTTCGCGCAAGGTTAGCAAGCTATGTCAGAGATCAGGGGGCCATCTTGAGTTGTAGTTTTTCTTTTGGGGTGACTCCTGGCATATTGTGTCACCAACCCATGGCCCGTTGGTGGCTGTCGGTTGCTGGAGTCAGGACGGCTCAAATTGGCTTGTTCGCACTGGTGCCGTTGCTGGTGAAGGTGGCCGGTAGTTGCTGGCTAGATGTCGGTCGCCTGCGGTTCCTTGTGGTGCGAATCAATTGTTATGTTCCTGGACTGCCTCGTAAGCGGTGTCCCTCTGTGTGTGGGTGGGTTGGGGGGAAGGCATTCGCGAGCGCGTGTGCGGGTGCGGGTGTGTGTGTGCGGATGTGCGTGCGCTTGCGGGTGCGCGGGCGCGGGCGTGCGTGCGTGTATGTGTGTGTGTGTGTGTGTGGGTGTTGCTTCTGCTGGTTGCGACTTGTGCGTCTGATTGCTACAGCAGGCCGTCTGCATGTGTTGCCGAGATAGCATTGCCTTTCAACAGCAACTGTTGCGCCTGGACTTACTACTCTTGCACTCTGACGGAGCCAAATCGCCTCCGACATCTCTGCGGATCTCTCCCGTGGCACAAGACATGGCGCCGCCTGCAGCGAACAGCGGTGAAATGTGCGAGGCACTGTGGGATATGAACAAAAATTATTCGGAAGTCACGACAATGGTTGAATCATCCCTGATGTCTCCCACCTGATGTCTCCCACAACCCCGTTGGCGTGACCCTATTGTTCAACAACTCTGGGCAAGAACAACTCACCCACCCAAAACAAGGCTTCGTATAAAAAGACATCTTCATGAAATGGGTTGCAAACTAACACTCGTAAAGTCGCAAACCTAGGATTTTGGCTTAAAAGTGCCACAAAGCGATCCGGATGGCTTGAGCAGCGCCGAAATGGTCAAAGACCCGAAATGGTGAGCAAGGTGTACACTCACTTCCTGCCAAAAGAAAGCTCAACTCTTTGTTTATCTCTAAAATGGTTTTGGGAAGTGAGTATATCCACCTTTTCCAATCCCTGGTCAAACTAGAGAGAACCATCTCAAGCGGGACTTGGACCATACAGATCCAGCGCCTCACTTGGTGGGAAACATGGGAACCAAGCCCAAACGGCTTCAAAACATCGCTTATTAAAAAAAGGGTGCAAAAAGAACATGTTCTGGCACTGCTTCATAGTTTGTCTACCCAGTGCTTCCAGGCAAGCCACTACAGCAGGAAACCAAGGGAAACCATCCATGGAGAAACCTAAAGGTCAGAAACCCGCCTCGGGTTACCTACCTTCAGGAGGCTCGCGAAACTCCGATTCGGGAAGCACCGCAGGCCTTTGCCTCTCGGGAGCCTGGCGAATGGGGGAAACCGCCAGCCTGGTAGAAAACCTGGCTAGCCTCCCAGCAATTCACATGGAACCTGACGTTCGGTCCTGGAAGACCACGTTCCTTTCAAAGGGACCCCAAACGTCAGGTTCCATGTTAATTGGTGGGAGGGTTCTTGATGCCAGGCTTGTTTCAAGGTTGGTGTCCTTTGAATCCCAGTTCCTTAGCAACCTGTTCGGGATACTTACTGGACAAAATCCGCTTCGCACCCGTTGGGAGAGATGAAACAGACTTAAAAGTCAAACAAAACCACCCAGTAGCAACTGGGCGAAGCGGACTTTGGCCATTCACAGCACCTCAGCTTCTGACCCCCCAAAAAATGAAACGCGTCATGTGTTGATTCTGGAAATCATATTAGTATGAAGCGAGCCTGATCATGATAATCAATGTCACTTGAGAGGTCTGGACGAAGGCGCTTTGGAGGTGCCCTTGTTCCAGACGAACAAGCATCCCCTTCTTTCCCGCTTGAAATGCGGAGAAAGTCAACGGTCCCTCCAAAGGTGGAAGTTTCACTTTCAAAAAAGGGGCAAATCCCTGCACGCAAACCCCAAGATGGACTCCCACCTCCCGCACGATCTATCCCAATCCAGATTTAGCCTTCGAGACGGGGTGATTGTACCAAGTGGCAGGTGCTGCAAACTTGACCCGGCTGACGCATAGGGACTTCCCGTTTGCTCATTTGTTCATGGCTTTGTGGCAAAATAGATCACCCTCTGCTCATTTGCTCCCCATGAACTGGCCAGTGACAGTACAAAGGGGAAGGTTGCACTGGCGATGCTTCCAGCCTGTGGCCATGTGACTGGGTGTTGGCTCCTCATTGGAGCAAGGACCCTTGTCTGTAACTCACGGGTTGCGGGTAAACATCAAAAAATATAGAGGCGGAATCCGGTTCGTTTGTGGTTTTCTAAGACCAATAATAGAAATCACACCCATTTGGGTATGGCTCAAAATTAAAGAGCTGGGGTTACGCGGGTATTAGTCTTTGGTTCCATTTACCAAGGTGCCATTTTGGTACCACTTTTTTCAGCCACAGCCATTTTCTAGGCCCAACCCCCCCAGGGCGTTCGGGCCACGCGCAGCCTCGAGGAGAGGAGAGCTCTTGCCTGGGCATGCGGTCGGAAAACTCCTCGCGCCGTGGAACTTCTGAAATCGAAATGGAAGGCCTGGGATCCAGACGCCTCAATTCTTGCTCAGATTAATAATAATAATAATAATAATAATAATAATAAACACACACACAGCCTATTTTCCACCGCGTCGCGGTTGAAATCGAGCAAGAAAAAGAGTTTTTTTCATGGATGTGTCATGGACCTGGGCCTCCTTAAAGGTGTATCCCTTGACAAGCCTACGTTGAAATTAATGGGTGCCCCTGCCCCGAACCCATGGCCGATGGCCGTCTAAAGGCCAATCAGTGGTTCGACCAAAGGGCTTGCTCGAAAATCATTCAGCCTGGTCTTCTTCTATGGAACCCTGGGATTCATTTAAAATTCCAGGCATTTGCAAATTCCAGGCATCTACACATCCTGGCTGGGATCAATCTCAGGGGTCCCCGAAAGGAGATACCTCCATCAATCCCTGGCGCGCTCCTCGGGGCGGAACACGGAAGTTGTAGCAAAGCCAAACAAGTCCAACGCAAACAACGCAATATACTGCAGAAGGTTGAGGTGGCAAGCCTCAAACAACAGCACACCAGAAGACTAGAAACATGCAGTGTGGCAAATGACCCTTTCTGCGACAAGAGCATAGGAGCATCGGAGACCACTTTATCACGGATTCGAGCCTTGGCCACAGAAAGCCCTACAACCCATCTATGTTTGGGGTCAGTTTTCTAGGATTCGGACCCGGTTTCCTTTTGGTTTCCCTTACAAACTCCAAAGAAGGTGCCAACTCCAAAACAAAAAGAGGACGGGCCTTTCTCTTACAATGCACCAGACCTTACTGGTTTTTGGCGAGTCCGCAACGATCTCAGCGCCCCACGAGCGCTCACGCGGCTTCGTTCGCGAAGCCGGCGAGAGGGGCCGAAGCTTCCTTTGCAGAGGGGCCGTGTGGGGAGAGGAGGGGACCCTTGTGGCCACTGGTACTTATGTGATTCCCCTTCCTTCAGGCTTCACAATAGCAATGTGTCCTTACCTACGTTCCGAGTTCGGTCGGGATCAGGTTTGTGATGATAGACAATTGCCGTTGCTTAGGTCTGGAATTGCAAGTGATCAATCCTTGGCTAACCTCAAAATAAGCCCCCCCACCCCGCACCCCGAGAACCATTGTAAGTAGGGTTGCCAACCAAACAACCAAATGGATGGCTCGTCTTTTTGTTCGGATTCGGACCCCACAAAATGGCTTCGGTGCTCCCTGTGGGCTTTCCTTCAAAGCCTCCAAGAACGGGGAACCGCACGCCCGATGGCTGTCCCCCTGAGCTTCCCTTCACCACAACCAACCAAGAAAAAGGAACCAACTCAAAAAACGCACACCCGGTGTGTTCCTTTTGAGCCTCCCTTCAAACACCACCACAAACGGGGAACCAGCTCCAAAAACACTCACACCCGGTTGTTTTCTTTGGGCTTCCCTTCGACCACCAAATGCCTAACCTCAGGCCAGTGTACCACTGGCCGGGAACCTCTTGAGGGTGCCAGTTGGCTCCAACCTGAAATTGAGTTTCTCGAAGTGAGTGCCCAAAACTCCGCTGACTTTTAATTCCAAAATGTGTTTAAAGTGTTGGATTGCAATTATAACCATGAAAACAGGTACATCGTGGAACAACCACCTACTTGAATGTGACATGGAGGCTTCGGGTGGGCAGGAATAGGGTTTCATCGAAAAGATTCCAGATCCGGTACCCCTCTAAAGCACCATGGTCACAACCTTCCGGCTCCCGATTGCAGAAAGCGCAGAATTGGACTAAAGCTGCAGGTGTCCTTGTGAAAAAACAGATAGATTTCACGAGAGGAAAATCGAACCCATCTGCGAAAGGGTTTGAAACAGAGTTTCGGGAGAGAATAAACAGGCCCAATCCCACCAACAAGAAGAGATTGTTTAAGTCCCCCAGTCCCAAGGGCAAAGCGGTGCCCTCGGCTGGCACAACAAACGAACCAAAACAGGGTGCCTTTAACCAAAAGATGAATGAACCCAGCAAGGGCAGAGACAATCGAAAGCAAGCACAAAGCAGCAAACCAAGCAGGCAAACAACGCAGCGCACAGTGAGCAAAGCAAACCAATAGCGCAATCCCCAACCCCGAATCCTGACCCACCACCAAGACCACCCAGCCGCCGTAGTCCGGAGCGTGGGGCACAACCTCCCACGCGCCGGCACAGCGCCGCTGGCAGCAGTTTTGACGCGATGGCAAGATGAAGTCGCCGGGATAAAAGCTTGAGCCAAAAGCCGCGTTGGGCTTCGGCATGAAACATGCTATGATAGAAGTACATGCCCCCAAAAACACCCCCCTCGCCTGTACAAAGAGAAGGAGTGAATTTGGAAGGGCGCATTGGCCATGTTGAAGTTGAAAAGCAAATAAAAAGAAAACAGAGCCGATTAGGCTACCAGGGTTCGCGGCCCCATACCCGGGCACTCATTGGTGCCCGGATCCCGCCACCACCCCGAATTACGGGTATGGGGCGGATTCGCGCCGGTAGCCAAATCAAACAAGAGAAAGCAAAAAGAAACAGAAACAAAGATTCAACTCCAGAATGGCAGGCATGAAATAAAATTACATTTGCAATGCAACCACAACGAACCGCAAGGTTCAAGTGGATTTAGTTCCTGAATTCATGATTTAGGCGCATTGGCCTACTGGTTGAAACATGGTGCTTTGACCACAAGACCTTGGTCTTTAAAGTAGCACCGTCTAGGCGCGCGATCACACAAAGACCTTCAGTAGGAACACCACCAGCTGCAATCAGCGGTTCAGGTCCGAGTAGGACTTCACCGGCAGCGGTGCAGCGCATCCGTGATCCTCACCGCAGCACCTTGATGAGTTCCATCTCCAGCAGCAGCAGCGGTGCTGGACGATGCCGACAACCAGCGGCCGTAGACACCGGCGAGGGTAACTGCCTTGCTGCGGCGACGCACACCTGACAGGTAATCGCTGCCAGCGCGAATAGCGCACAGCTGCGCATGCAGTTGAATTCTGGAATGGCGAATAGCCCAAACATAGAAATACTACAGGGAGCATTGTCCATTATGTGAATTCCGGAATGAAAGCACGCGCGCGTTGGCGCCGCTACGCAAAAGATGCAGACGGACACCAGGTATTACCGATGTCGTCCGCCGCCGTGCCGTCCCCTCCCCTTGTTGACGTTCCAGTCCCCAGGAGGAGGAGGCACGGTCTCGGCCAACTCATCGTCCGCACCCCAGGTAGGGGTATGCGGCGAGTTCGGATTCTCGAACTCGCGTGGATCACCCTGCATGTGCGGCTGCCAACCCTGCTGCATTGCGCCAGGCCACATTTGCGGCATCATGCCAGCCATTGGCTGTTGCATGTACCCTCCCATTGGGAAAGCGGGGTACATCGGACTTGGGAACGGGAAAGGGGCTGCCTGAGCACCCTTGTATCCCGACCCGCGAGCATCAGGCTGATACCCGCCAGTGGGAGTTCTCGATCTGGCGGATCCGCCACGACCGAACTGCCCTTGTTGGTAGCCGTATTGGCCACCCTTGCCTTTGTACTGATCACCTTTGTGACCCTTTCCTGGGAACTGGTCACCCTTGTGACCTCCGCCCTTGGGCCAGGATTGCGCAGGGGCTTTGCCCTTTTGCTGATCACCCTTTGACCTGGATTCAGGTCGCGGGGTAGCAGACCGTTGGTCTCCCCTAGGAGTGGCTGCCCGCCTGTGGTGCTTCCCAACCGGCGGGTCAGCAAAGACAATGGCGCATTGGCCGTCGCGCCGCGAAGCGGGGACCATGTCAACCTTATTGTCCTCGACATAAATGTATGCCTCAGCATACTCAATTGGGGCCGTGATGGATCCACCACTTGCCCGCAAAGAGTCGATATTCCAATCAAGAACAGTGGAAGCGTCGAAACTCGGATCTTCAGTATTGAAGTCCGTGAGGCGTCGCTCAGCCTGTACCAACGACATTATGATATCCGCGCGTGAGGCGCCTAGGCCATACAGCGGAACCAAATACCCGTCCTCAATCCCGATGCGGTAGGCATCAAAGATATGCACAGAGAGGTAAAGGGCAAATGCTGAATTTAGACTGCCCTTTCTCGTCATATGACGACCCCATTGCGCCGCCTGTTGCGGGTGGTCGATTAAATATGCCATGACAGACATATTGTCGGGAATCGAGACGCCAGTGTTGCTCTCCTCGATGAGCAGCTGCTTCGCTACCCACCGCTCGAGAGCCTCATCACTCGCCCGCACACAAGCGTGAGTGTCCTTTGAGGTGACCTTTGCAACCTCCTGAAACGCAACTTGCACAATATCCGCATTGGGAATGTGCACAAGATGCGGCGCGCAGCGCAAACCGGTGATCATGCAGCTGACCACCTCGCGAATCGGGTTTACCGATGCCATGAGAGGGGCCCACGCGTCGGTCTCCCCTTCATGCCAGCTGCTGGGGCGGACTGCTTTGAGTTCGCTCAGCCAGATTGGCTGTCCATGCTTAACCAGAGCGCGGACGGTGCCTGGCACCCATTCACGATAGAAAATCGGCAGATGGCAACCATTGCATAGAATGGTGCCATACATGTTCAAATGCGCGCACCGAGGGCACCAGTAGTCATGCATGGGAGCATTGTCCCATGAAAATGACACCCCTCTCCGCGGTCCCTGAACATTCAACTCACGGACCGCCCAGGGGCGGATGTATATTACATCCCCTTCCTGATGCAGATAACATGCGCGCCAGAATGGCGCATGTATCTCTTCCCGCACGGCGATCAAACCGCGTCGGGTTTTGTAGATGCCGGCGGCTTCCTCGATGGCCATCCACTTTAGGTCAACGGCCACAACGACATGGCGCTTGTCCATGTACTTGACGCGGTCGTCAACATAAAATTCGCCCTCATTATTGGGGCTGGGCAACTTGAGGAAAGGCACCTTTGCGCCCTCCATCCCAATCATGATCTCCCCCCTGCAGACCTGCTCAGGTCGCATGGGGAAAACTGTGATGGCGAATTTGCCAGGCCTCCGGATGCACCTCGTTTTGAGGGCGGACCGATACTCGGCCATCGTCAGCAGCACGTATCCCGTATAAGGGACTTCTGCTGCTCCCATCGGCCTAAGCAAAGGCCCCATAGGCGTTCGGTCACGCAGTGCCCAACGCTTGAAAACTTTGAACGGCATGTCCCTCCCGATTAGGGTGGACCGCGCAAAAAGCACCTCATTCGGGCGCACACTCGTGCCATCTGTCCTCCAGACTTTCCGTATTAGGAGCTCGACTGGAGGGTACGATGGGCTTTCCTTTGCGAGAGCACCCGCCCAGGTCGCTACCTCGACACTCGTGCACTTGTGGATCCCGTATAGGGCCTCAAGTAGCGTTGAGATCAGAGTCATTGACATCCAACCTCCCAGAATGTCTGGAACCGTCCCAAACAAGAAGGGAGGCTGCTCACCGGGCTTCACGTTTAACCGCGTAGGGTCAGTGTTGCCCGACAAAACTTCTAGCAGCATTTGCGATTCCCTGGAGCTTCGTCCAACAAACGCCGACACATCCCTAATTTCGGGGAAAAAATGGAAGATGTCATTTCCGGCAGGACAGGCGATTCTGCCTGCTATCCCGCCCTGTGCATCAATCACAACCTCTTCACCCTCGTATGTGAGGTTGTAGGTGCTCGTAATCGGGCACACACCGGGCTTAGCCATCAGTGCCTCTTCCAACGACGCACCTGTTGGGAGGACGCCCTGTACGTGCGACTTGGTACCTATGGGACCAGTACTCGCAGACATAAGCCGATAATTTTCGGCACGAAAGAATGGAAAAAGGTTCTTCATCCTTTCAATTTCTTCTTCAGTGGTGCGCCACGCCTTTGCCTCATAGTAAGGCGGCTCCTGCTTTGAGGGCACTAGGTCGCGGTCACCCATTGATG